CAAGCCTTCAAGTTAATGTAATTGGAAGGGTGGAGTTCACGGCCTACGGCAAATTCAAAGACATTTGTTTACAAAAATACATACAAAAGTCGATCAATGCGCTCGAACGAGTATAGTTTTTTTTTTATTTTGTTCGATGAAAGAGGCGGTATCAAATGATATTTTACAGAGAAAATCTAGAATACGTTTGGTAAACGCTATCATAAATCTCGCGTGAAATGCAAAATGAAACTTGTAAAGATTCGAACCGCCTAACGATGACCAGAACATTCGATGATAAGGAAATACGGTTTGTCTTTGGTTTATGGCGAGAAGGACGTTTCTGACAATAATTGTATAAAATTGCTATTTTAGAGTGTAGTTGCGCAAAACGAGTACTTAAACGTGCGCGTGACAGGGTCTACAGCTGTGTAAAGAAAAACGAATATATTTCAACCCCATATACGGTCATGTTACTCATATTGATACAGACTTAATGCGTTTACTATATTTTTGTATCATAAGGGTTTGGTATCCGGTGATATGTCATATGAAATAAGTGAAAAGAATATTCAACGCAAATATAAATAACTACATGGTTTTTAATTAAAACAAATACATTAATGTTTGATTACTTTTTAAAATATAATAGTGTCGCTCTTTAAGTTCAATCAATTTGTCAGCTGCTATAAGACATTAATACTTCTTGAACTGCATGTAACAATTAATATTTATAGTTGTTTACAAGTTATGATTATATATTTAACTGGATTAAAACAAATGAGTACTAATAACTAGTGTTATGATCATATATCAATCGTAAGGTTGGCCGTTTTAATTAAATTTGACCTCTTTATAACTACCCACTTGGTAAAATTATAATATAAATCACGTTTTCCTCGTGGTTTTATTTGATATAAATTTAATTTTGTTTTTGTTCTATTTAGAAAGTAGGTTTTATTATTTTTTCAATTTTGGCATCAAGCTTCAAATATTTTATAACAAAAGAATTATTTTAACTTTACTAGTTAATTAAAATTGAAAGGCTATATGCAAAAATGAGACAACTTCATTTTTTTTAATCAGATATTAACGGATTTTATTTAAGATTAAAATAACGGTTATATCCATCCAAGAAATAAACAATTACAATTAACAATATATATTGTAGTTAAGCATTTTTTAAATTTTAAAGTTATTAACTATTCAAATCAAAAAGTCTAGTTTTTTTGCCTAAAAAAATTTAAATAAGAAGTTATTTTGTTTTTATGTAGAATTGATAGACAAAAATTTTGCGTATAATCAAAAGGACGATCATTAATAACATATCATATTATAAATTATTTTCAAGGAGTGATAATTTGATTTATTTGAATGTGAGAATAAAATTATATAGGATGTAATATTCCAAAAACAACATCAAATCATATTTCCTTAATTATATTCTGATTATAGATCTTATAATTTATAACTATTACTCATTATATTAATTAAATTTATTATGAAACTGAAATTCGATAATTTAATACAGTAGTTTTTACGGAAAAATTATAAAGTAATTGTATATTACGTTACCTGTATGGCAAACGTGTATCAAAATTTTTTTCTTGTTTATTTTATATAACTTTCTATTTAATAAATATTTAAAAAACGCAGTATTTCCGGAATATTTTCAAAAGTTAAGTTGAAAAAGTTCTACTTTTTACACATATGTTTCAAGTTTTGAAACTCCACTGTATAGAAGACAAAAAAAATTAGTAATGAAGAACACTAATAGTTAAAATCTTTTAAATAACAAATAATGTGTCGATTATTTATTTTAATAAGAATTAGTTTTGTCACTTTTAAATGTAATTAATTATATTAAATTTAATTGTCACACACATGTTATCTTTTAAACAAAAATAATATGAAATATTAAGAATTTTTAAGTATCATTCGTTATAAAATATTTCAACATTTGCTATATACGTGTAATACGATAATGTACCATTTAAAAATTATAGTTAAAATACATTTTTTTTCAAAAATTATCTGAAAAAAATTGTTTTCTCTAAAATTATAGAATTTTAATTCAAATACAACTTGTAGATTTACAAAATCTTAACTAAAGGCTTAGAGGTTTGAAATTTTAAAAGGGCTTAGCCCTCAAAAATTCAGAAAATTATAAATATTGCTTTATAAAAATATTTTCAGGGTAGTCAGAAAATTAAATGAGTATTTCATTTATTTTTAATTTTTATTCTAGTTGTTCCTATGCATATTTATCATGTTACACCTATACTTAAAATTAAAAAATGATATCGATTATAAATTTTATATCTTCAATTATATCATGAGAATGTTTTTAAAAGCTATTGAACTTAATCAATAGTTTATTAGTCTAATTATAGACCAAATTTTAATTATATTATTATATAAACAATAACTCATTTGAGGAAACATTTAACTACATATTTATGAAAAAAACTTGAAAAAATAAGTCAATTTAAGGTATCTAATGAGGTTCTATATAATCTGAGTATTTGTGTGTATGTATGGTATATTTACATGTATAAAATACATTGCTTACATTTAAAAAAAATTAAATTTTCAAATAATTCTTTTAAAATTATTGATTCAGTACCATTTTTAAGCCATGATTCGGGCAAAGGTTTTGCTATCTATTTCGAAAATCTTTCAATATTATACTTATAATCTTCCTCCATAAACACAAACCGTTTGTTTCAGTCTTTAAAATGAGGTGTGTATGCAGTTGAATGTGAGTTTAAGTATTTGGCTTAAAGCTGTGGATTCTTTACCAGATAATAATTCATAAAAAAGAATAATGAAAATCATAACACCCACTTTATTAACTCAAGGATCTAAGTAAACGTACTTGTTGGTGATAATTAAAATGTTATTATATTAATGTCAGTAACCTATCATTATATCAACGCGTAATATAATTTACTATTATTATTTAAAATAGTTTAATCAACAAATGCTTGTTACCCCACGCAAAAAATGTTTTATTTACTTAAACAACTTTATTTTGATTTGCGTTAGCACATTATTTAAATGTTTAATACTTATTTAAATTTTTTAATGACTTATGAGTGCATAAAAAATGTTTGTGCCACAATCAATTAAAATTCTGTCGAAAAATTCCACCTTCAATGTATAGTACAACATATAACACCGTTATGTACAATTAAATATAAGTCATTCTATTAAGGTTCAGTAGAACCTTAAGATTGAAAATCAATCTTCTGATGTACACCTACGAATTCAATACAAAACAGAAAATTGTTTTTTAGATAAATACATTTTATTTTGTATATTCCAATTGAATGTCGAAAAAAAATCATCGTAAGAATATGAAATATGTCTTAAACCTACACATAATCGCATAGATTCGTGGTGTATTAACTGAGAGAGTCTAAGGCTATTACATCAATAGACTTATATTTACTTCATTAGAAACATTGTATTTACAAACAATTATAATCCATTTTGCATTTTGCAAAACTTTTTTTTTTTTATTAGCTTTTATTATGAAAGTATTATAGCTCGACAATTACATAAGAATTAGATAATATAGTATTAATTAGCGTTATGAATTACAGGAATAATTGGTTTTAATTAGTATAACAAAAATAAAGTATGTACAATAAATTATAACATAAAATAAAGTAGTTAAATAGTACAACCAGCGCTCAATATAAAAGAAATGATGGCAGTATTCACTGTAATAGAATAGGAATTTAATACAACAGAGGGGACAAAATTGTAAATTCCATTGTATTCTAAAAATTATATAAGCAAGCATCTATTAGACGCCAAGGAGGAGCAATTCAATAAATAATGAGGAAAATCTCCGAGGACTTCATCTTCAAATAAATGGCAAAAGGAAACAGAGTTCAGGTTTAATTTGTAAGCGAATGCTGGTAAAAGGTTATGACCCAGTCTGAGTCGTGAAAAGCTAGAAATTATATTGCAAGGAAGATCTAGTTGATCGAACCATGGAATTTTGGAAGAGCTAGGTACGATGGACCGATGCATCGGACAAAGCTGTTAGTGAGAGAATATTGGGTAGATCTAAAGTAATGAAGATCATCAGAATAAGGAAGAAGAAAGAAAGGATAACATAGGAATGATGAAGCACATTTAGCCAAAGGATCAACGAACTCGTTACCACGATTGCAAAACTTTTCCTAAAGTATTTTAAACAGTTAGACTAGGTTGTGGAACAACAAAAAATAACTTATTCAAATCACTGTATTATAGATACAAAGATTTTTAACGAAATAGATATCTGTAATTTTTTAAGTAGCCTTTATTAAATATATAACAATTTAACAGTTAAAAACTAAAATAGTCGTAATAATTCCTTAGTAACAATTATAGAAATAAATATAACATAATTGAACTAAAAAATATAAATTTATAAATTACAGTTACTATAATAATAAAATAAAACCAAAATAAGACATCCACGGAAAGTAAAATTTTAAGGTTTATAAAGACCATAATATAGTTTTATTCTCTGAGCGTTATTTATAAGACATTCAAAACAAGGTTTTTAAATAATATAAATGGCTTAGTAGAATTTTTGTATTTATTATGCCATAAAATTGCTAACCATTCATCTTTAACAAAAAAATTAGTGGCTAATAACTTAAAATCACTTATAAAGTTTATTTAATTGATGTAATAATAAATACTTTTTTTTATAACATGTATACATTTTTTTTTGAAAAAGCTACTCGATCTCAAATTATGAAAAATACGACAAATAGCAAGTTGAATTTTGACAAATTCGATTAGATATCCAATGCAATTAATCTACATTGCTAGATAAATACATTTTAAAAAATCGACTCTAAATAAATATTGCTACGTAATCTTTAGATTACACAGCAATATTTTTAGAATACATCTGTTATGTATTTGAACACAAATAAATAAATTATAATTTTTTTTTATTGGACACACCGTATAAAGGAGAGATTTATTTATTTTAAATATTCATTAAATTATTCACAAAAGTAAATTATACATATTAATTTTTATAATTCGTGGTAAAAATAAAAATTTTATAATTTTGATTTTGATTTTGATTTTTATAAGCATCTTGGCAGAATAAAATTGCAAGTGTAAAAGTATTTATTACTATAATATCTAAGTCTAGTTCATAACCAAAAATGTTTATGAAGTGTGCATTTTATTTATTAATTATTAATTTATATGTTTGTTCAACCAAAGCAGATGAGTACTTCAAAGACTTGAATATACTTTTAGAACGCGACGAATGGAAAATTGTAGGTAATCTTTGGATGTCTCGTGTTGTTGTTGAACGTAATCCAAACGGACAGATACTCGATGTGGCAGAATTATTAAAAAAAGATGAAAATAATAATGAAATTTTTACAGACGAAAATTACAAAATTAAAGTACAAAAACTAGTTTTATTATACAGCGCTGTACATGCAATTAAGCTTCATAAAATTATAGATCTTCTTAGAGTGTTTTGGGAACTATGTGAAAGAGTTGATGAAAGATGTAAAAAATCATTTTTAGAGACTTTATTTTATCATCATGAGATTTTTGTAAATATGTCGGACGCACTACAATTTATTTACAAATTTAAAAGTAAAAGTCCTCTCACAGCTGATGATAATTTAAATAACGAGGTGACTAAAGCCTTAAATCATCTTGAATTTTTGTCAAATACTATTTCACTAGATAATGAACATATTAGTTTTGAATTAAAAAGCGCTTACAATTCAATAAAACNACGTATTCGTTTTGAATTAAAAAGCGCTTACAATTCAATAAAACAATTTTTTGCATCTCATTTTAGACCTGTTCCTAATTACATAATAGATGACCAGAACTGTTTTTCGACATTTTATTTATTAGTTAAAAGTACTATTAATAACAACAATACAACATTAGATGACAAATTGTTGACTTTAACATGCAGTGTATATCCTAAAATGATAGAATATAAGTATTGTCACATAAATATACTTGACTATCGCTGTTTTATAGATAGTCTTTAGTGGAGATAGCGCCTTTAACGGAACATAGTACAATAAGCGCCAGCGGCTTACAATGACGAAGATGATGGCTAAAATAAAAATGTACTTATATATTCTGTATTATTAATCAAATAAAACATTGTTCATTTATAAAATAAACTTTTAGCTTTAATATGTATTTACATTATTTATGTAAATAAACCAACCCAACCCAACCAAACCAAACTCAACAGAATTAATTGCGTGTGGTTGAAGTGGAGAAAAGGATCTGGCGTCTTAAGCGATAAAAAAATTCCAATGAGCCTGTAGGTTAATTTCTACAAGACTGTAGTGAGACCAGCTATGAAATATGGTTCAGAGTGTTGGGCGGTTGATAAGAAAGTAGAGCAGAGAATGAGTGTAGCAGAGATGAGAATACTTAGATGGATGAGTAGAGTGACTAGAAAAGATAGAATAAGGAACGAACATATAAGAGGGAGTATAGGTGTGACGTTACACCATGGATAAGATGAGAGAAAATAGACTTAGATGGTTTGGTCATGTTATGAGGAGAGATTAATCGGAAGCTTAACAGTTATAAAAATGAATGTTGAAGGAAGAAGAGGTAGAATTGAATGCAATATGAGGACAGCTGATGTGAGCGTAGATAATATGAGAGATCGTGTCAAGTGGAAGTTTAGGATTAGGGTGGCCGACCCCAAGTAGTTGGGATTAAGCCGAGGAAAAAGAAGAAGAGAAGAAGACATTATTTATAATTTTTTAAATTATTTTCGTTGTATTAGCTTTTAAATTTGTGAATATATAATCAATAGCGCAGTTTATTTTTTACTTAAATATTAGATTGTCAATTAAATCTAATGATCTGTCAAAAATGAATATTTCTAAAACTTAAAATTTATTTTGGAAATAAAACGTTAAGTCATCATACATAAAAAATATATTTTTCAATAAAACAAAATAAATATCTGAAGTAGAAATATAAACCGATTTAAATCAAGAAAATCCTCCAAACTGTACATAGGAAATTTATTCGTTCGATGACAATGTTAAAGTGAACTCTTATAACTTTAAACGTACACAGGCAGACCACTGTCAGAATTGTGCATAATATGTCTACAACTAACAAGTTTGTTGTAGTAAAAGAATAACAGCCAACAGTTCATACAATAACACATTATTGTCAACGATTGACAACAGTCGTTGTCACAAATTCACAGCAAGGCGATGCCGCTGAAATGTCAACGTTTACGTTTAATAATAATTATTATTCATTAAATTTTATTTTCATAAGTATTATTGCGTCATTTTGATGAGTATAATTTAAATAATGCATACATTTTTTCATTGACACAGGTGTGTTCCTAACTATATTAACTTAAATTATTTTTATTTTTGCGTGAAACTTCCATATACTTTATGAGACACGAGCTTCTGAATTCACGAACGAATTTATGAATACCGAAGTATTAGGAGGCGTTTCACAAAGAGCTAGTACGTCAGACAGATTAAAATTATTTTTAGTTGAGTTTACACACCTTTGAAAATAGATTAAAAAGGCATTATAAATCAAAATAGATACATATTATTTTTATAATTTATTGATCCTAACACACATGGTAGATGACAGATGTTTTATCATAGCTTGAATAATCATAATTACTGTCATTATAAATATTTTGTAAGAACGACTTTAAAAAATTGCTCAATATCAAAAATCCACCTGACTCACATCATAACATGTAAATGCAATCATTTAATCAAAACATTCGGTAACCATTTTCACCATGAAGACAAAATAAAGTCCAAAATTTTTTTTTTCCATAATAACATTAACTTTAATTTAAGATATATATAAAAGTGTCAGACTTTCCAGAACACTTTCAAAAGTTGAAAAAATAATTTTTTTTTTTAAAAGTTGTCATTTTAAATCCCCCTGTGACAGATAAAGGGTCAGATTTATAAAAAAGTATACCAAATGATAGGTAAAGACATCAAGCATTTATAAAAAAAAATTATATTAATTTGTTCATTTTTGAAAAAGTTATGGCAGGTTTATAAAAAAAAATATCGAAAATTAGCAATTTTAAAATTTGTAATTTTTTGGAGATTTCCCCCATTTACGGGGAACGAGGGAAATTTGTTCAGTTTTTGAGGGTAATGTTTTCGACTAGATACGATTTGTGATCTTTTGACGTATCGTTGAAAGAAATCGATTCGGTGAGAGCTGAGAAAAAGTGGTAACCGACACGGAAAAAAAAATTAACATAGTAAAACCAATACCTTCTCAGCTTCACATCGAAGCTAAAAATTATTGGAAATGAATGATACGTACATTTGTATATAAATGAAAAAATTAGTAAACTATACTATAAAAATAAAACTAAGTGTTAAAAAATATTAATCGAGTGTTTATCAAACTTTTACTAGAAAACTTGGACATTTTAACATATTATAAGACATATTTGAAATGAATATATGATAATAATTACATGAGATTCAATATCAATTAAATGAGATATTTTACTAACCTAAAACTGGATTAATCTAACCGTTCTCGGTACTAGTGTGATTCGACTAAAATGCGTACTGACGTTTTAATGCATATAAGTTTCCCATTATTAGTTTATAGGATTCAATTTGGTATACAGACTTAATGTTATATTTCCTATAAGTGAAATATAAAACATCAAAGCGATAATTCAACTCGTCGCAGACCAACGTTTGCATATAAAACTTACATCGCCCTTTGTCGATATTACATTGTTGTGCACTATCAGTGACTGAGATTCTTATTTTTTTCATGTAAAATTGGAATAAATACATATAATACAAAAAAATTATTGGAAATAAATGATACGTTCACTTGCGTTCAAAAGAAAAAATAATTATCAAAACCGCCTACGGTAACGTTTTACTGGAGTTGGCCTCGCGCACAGATTGATCTATAGACTATCTAAGTCGCATTATGTTGTTATTGGCTACCTTTGGAGTATTGGCGACAGTTGTCTTGGGACTCCATGTATCATTATTTCTACGAAAACGACAGATATATATTTTTTTTTAAGGAGTAAACGGTATAAATAGTTGTCTTATTTTCTTTAAACTAATGAGACATGAACGACGGCAATGCCATAAGAGCTCACGCGTCTACAATGCGTGGAATATTACTATTTAATCAATACATTTACACAGACATGACTACAATGTAAGTTTCCTGGGAAAAGTGACAATGCTGGTAACAATTTTTTATTCGCAACGGTAGAGCGCGCCTTAGTAAATTGTTTATAAAAAATTGATGTAAGACTGACTGGATATTTACAACAAATCAAATGTTCACATAATAACGTAATCCATAGCGATTGCCTCACGTTTTAAATTACATATGACAATATTCATGTTGTTGTGCAGAAAATGCAGAAATTAAAACACGTGCAATGCGAATCTTTTAATTATAAATCAAGAACTCGACATTTTTTCCTATTTTGACATCACGTCTAATTAATTATTGTTAAAACGTTCTCACGTTATACTAATAAATACGTATTATGCTTTCTTTTCGTTTGAATTATAAATTAATATTATTTATAGTATTGAGTTTATTGACTTACCAAGAATTTTTTTCCTACGAGTTAGTTAACTTTGAAGCCAAAATTTTCTATAATAATTCGCTTGAAATACAAATATGTTTAAAAATAAAAATGCCAAACGGGCTCACGAAAAATGCAGAGTCGTAGAGTGTTCGAATATAATATATTGATATATTATAAATATTATATATATTATTATATATTATATCGAATATCATCTTGCACTATTCAGTATTCGACACTTTCATATACCTTTTTATTAATTCGCGGCTCTGTGCTGTCGTCGGCATATTTTTGTGCTTATTGTAAATCCGTCATTTGTGCTAAAATAAAGACTAAGTATGTTTAGGGCGGTGAGCGTCATGTATGAAGATCAATGTTATATCACTAAAAAAACAGCAAAAAATTTCACCCAGCTAACGATTTGGTCTCGATACTGATAAAGAGCTGTCATATCGGAAAATTACTGCAAATTTAATTCAAGAAATGAGTCAAAGGCTACACACAACCCAGTTATGTATAAATACTGCAATTAATATAAAGAAGAAGTATAAAGCAATAGATGAATACTCTCTTTAGTAATTTTACTAATTTGTTCTCACTTTATATATATAATCGTTACAAGGTCTTGTGTGTCAGATTACCGCCTTATTACCTCAATGTCCTATTAAAGGCGCCTACCAATTATTTAGTTTTTATTCCTTCACAAAGAGGATCTACATTTATTTATATATTTTTGTTGATCTAAACCCTCAGACTCTACAATCTCGATAGAACTTCGTCGAGTTTAACTCTCTCTTTGAGTTACTACAAAATACAGTTTAGACCTTGATATATATCTGAGTATTTCAAATACATATTACTTTTTAAGACTTTCTTAAGAAAAATATCGAAAATCTGGCAGTGATAATTATGATAACAAGTAATCATGACAACCAATCAAAATGTTGTAAAAAAATCTACTCAATTGAGCGTATTGTAAAATTTGATTATAATTGTAAAAATTGTTTGTTAAATTCAGGTAAAAATTAAAATAATTTTCTTTTAAATTTATGATTTATATAGCGACATGTTATCAAAAAAACTAGAATATTATAAACTGGTAGAAATACAAACAAATTAAGTTAAAAAATTAATAAATTACAAAGTAACATTATTTAGTTTTGTAGTTGTGAAACCTTTAATCTAATCAAATATAATTAGACAGTAAATACTTATATCTTCAACTAGATAAGGGTTTAGATCATTTGATGTATTGTTAAAAAATATTGGTCAAGTGAGACCCGAAAAAATAAATAAGAGCCACAAAAAAAAATCACATAGTAAAATAATCTTAATATGCATCAGAAAGTTCATTTCAAGAGGAGAGACTATAATGATGGGGTCCTTGAATCTAAATGAGATAAAAATCAAATGAGTCAAAAGTTATTTCTATCTCAAAAATAATCAAGAAAAACATCCAAAAATATCAGTGTCACAGGCGATTGGTTCCAATTCCTGCGTGAAGGACACAAGTGTTTCAACAACTGCACTTCGCATTTATCGCTTAACAAATATAGTAATTTAAGTTTGTTCAAATTTTAGA